CAAAAGCACTTACGCAAATGCCTAGAAGAAATTGGGTTTTCATCTCTTGAATCTGATAACTGTGTATTTATTCACAGTGAGGATCGTCTCATAGTTGTTTCCTACGTGGATGATTTCCTTCTGCTTGGGAAATAAAAAGAGAAAATTTCGAAGATGAAGATCCGACTCGCCAAAAAGTTCCAGTTAGAGGATTTAGGCCCAGCCCAGTATTTCCTTGGTGTCCGTGTTACTCGAGACCGTGTAAAAGGGCGCCTATGGCTTACTCAAGACGCCTATTGCCGTCAAATCCTTGAACGTTTTGGTATGGAAAATTGTCGCCCTGCAGCAACACCTATGGCTCCTGGCTATGAAACGTTTCTAGTCCCTAATCCAGATCAAGCGACTGCTGCCGAAATAAGAGACCACCAGTCAAAAGTAGGCTCCTTATTGTACCTTGCGGCTCATACTAGACCCGATATTTCATATGCGGTCTCGGTATTTTCTCGGTATCTCTCCAATCCATCTTCGAACCACACCAAAGGTGTCGATCATATACTTCGTTATGTGAGGGGTACAGTAAGTCTCGGGATAATGCACGATGCAAATGCATTTGATACAACACTACACTGCCACAGTGACTCTGATTGGGGTGGAAATATAGCCACCAGACGATCCACTGGAGGAAGTGTCTTCTTTCTTGCTGGAGGAGTGATTTCGGCCTCATCGAAGGGACAAACCAGCGTTGCACTTTCCTCAACAGAAGCTGAGTATTATGCTCTCACTGCCACTATCCGGGAACTCCTGTGTATTCAGCAATTGATGCGTCAGATGGGCTACTCCAGCACAGATATATTATCCACAAAGGTCTACGGTGACAATCAGGGTAGTCTGGCCTTAAGTGAAAATCCAGAGCTACACCAGCGTACTAAACATATTGATATCAAGCATCCCTTTATCCGTGACCACGTCACAAGTGGTAGAGTGTTGCCCCGATATATTTCTACCAAGTTGATGGCAGCAGATGGACTTACAAAGTCTCTGAATAGAGCTAAGCACGGAGAATTTATAAAGCTGCTCAATATGAGAGTTCTTGAGTTAAAATGACCATATGTTAATTTGGGTAAAGGGTGATAAATATAATGAAACAGTCTTGGGCTGAAGGAGTGTGTTGAAGTGTCACCCTTACGCTGTTTTATGTCACATGACTTTATCCTGTAGCATTTACATTACTTTCTAGCGTTGTGTAAGGATTCCTCTTCCGATCCTTTCTTTAGGATATAATTTTACCTTTCTTCATATGTTGCTATGACAACAGGACAGTTCTTGGCACATGGTATCATGTTGATATTATGTTAAGGTCTATGTTATGATGAGCTAGTGAAAGGAAGGCAGGTATATATACAATGGTTTGGTCTGTAGGCATGGAGTTCTTTACGCTTAGTCTTCTGTCACAACCACCACCTTCGGATCACCTCTGGTCACCTACAGTCACCTCTAGTTACCTCTAGTACCTTTAGTTATTATTAGTACCCTCTCGAACCTTTAGACCTTTTAAATACTTATATTAACCATCTTTCAAACCTCAATTTCCTCCAAATTATCTCTAGTATACCTTCAGTCATCTTTCGCCGTCCATTTAACATCTTCTAGCCCTTCGAATTCGCTCCAGCTCAAACGTCTAGACTCCAATCTGACACGTTGTATACTAGCTATTATTATACCTGTAACTTACACATCAATTAACTTATATTACATTCTATATACGTCCTTTAAGAGTTTTGTTGTTAACTTCATCTACTTTTGTTGAGGATCCCGCGGTTGGAATGAGATGGGCCTGTACGCAGAGAACCCCACCGGCCCCACCAGTCTCGTACCGATTGTGGACCTAGAGCTTTAGCTTAGGACTTAAAAATAAAAAACAAAAAACAAAAAACAAAAAAACAATTTTTTGAAATTCGAATTTTCGAATATCCCTATTTGCCCCTTCTTCCTCCCTTTCGCGCTCGTCGCATTCATCAGAAAATTGTGATCTCAGTGACAGGCCCCCGACCTTGGGAATGGCACTGGGGAAACCCAAAAAATCGCGTGAGGATCGTGTTATCGACGCCCTTGGAAGAGCGCACAAGAAAGTGATCAAACGTATGATCGACAAGAATTCGACAGTAAAAAACATCGACTATGGAAAAATGGATAAAGAGCTTATCGAGCGGATCAATGCCTTCGTAGAAAATACCAGCTCTAGCAATCCAGATATCGAAATTTCCGATAGAACAATCGACATTTATATTCAAGAGGGCCTCAGTAGCTCTAAGTGGAATGTAGAAGACTCGGTAGACAGCCAAGTCATAGTCATCCCCGCCAGCACAACTAGAAAAATTGCTGTCCCTGCTGTTAGGCGGGCTGCGATCGCGCAAAAAAGTAAGGAAAAAGACACCGCATGTCCCAAAAATCCCTCTGAGGGTACACCAGGGATTACAGAGGAGAGTACCGCTTCTCGCAGCGAAAACATCCCCAAGCTGACAGAAGAATATCCCTCCGAACTTAGGGCCTTAATCGAAGCCGAAGAACGCCGGACTGCTAAAACAGCAGAAAATGTAAAGATCTGCACTACTGCAATAAACAGTGTCGAAAAAGCTCTCTCCCCCCTATCCAAAGGTACGAGTGTTCAATTTAGAGACTCCATGTTACGGTTTGACCGTTGTTTTAGCTTAGGAGGAAACCTAAGTGTTTTATTAGGAATAATTACGATAAGACTGAAAGAGGAAGAATGGGCAAATAAAGATGAAATGGCACTACTAGCCAGGAGGTCGAAGCAACATCATAGCATAATGGCTCCTGATAATACTTGGCTCGGTAGCAAGTATTAGGCCTAGGGGGAAGTTATCAGTCAGCAGATTCACGAAGCGGACCAAACATTATAAGTACCTATTAGTAGTAGCTAGAGATTTATTTTCTCTTCATATAGTTTAATAAATCGATTTATTCATCACCAAATCGGTTTCCGTCACACTCCATGAAAGTCTACATCAGAGCTGCAATAGATCAATTCATGATATAGGGACCGGGTACAGTCCTCTCAGTACTTCCCTCGCGCCCTGAAACCCAGGCTACTGGCAGCAAGATTACAGAATGTGCCGCTAGAAAGCAAGATGAGCCGCAAAGTAAAGTGACTCATGATAAAGTCTCCCAGGCCAAAACCACTTGGGCCTCAATCATCCGGAACGGTCTAAAGACTCCCCTGGCACCTACAAAATTCGCACAGGCTATGCCAAAGGCGACAAACTCGACGCGATCTCCAAAAAACACGACCGCCTCAATGCAATCAGCCATCACAGATGAATGCTTGTTTCTTCGCCTTCGAAATGAACACCCTTGGAGAAAGCCATCACCGTTTGGTGTAAGAGAGGCTGTGGCGAAAATGCTCGAAATTCCTCAAGTAAATATTGAGCACGTATACCGTGTTCCAATTGGCTTCGCAATTAGAGCCGAAACCCAAGAATCACGCGCCATCATGTTAAGCCTAGCTGGGTCCCTCGTCCAGCAAGATGCCATACTAGAAGAAGCATCGGACCTGGGCTCACTTAAAATCGCAACAGTCCCAGTTGCCATTAATACAATTATGGGTAGAGTTATTGTCACAGAAGAGATGGTGACAGACGAGATAGTCAGGGTCACCAAGGCTGTTCCGGTAAAAGTTCGCCCACATGGGAAAAGCCGACTTGGAGCCCCATACCAGTCATGGGTAGCCCTTTTTGAAAAATTATCGATCCCTCGACCAGGTTTCCGACTTTTTGACGACTCAGGGATTGCAGTCCATCACCAGCCCCGACAAAGCATTAACCAGTGCAAACTATGCCTACAATTCCACGGCACTAGGGGCTGCTCGCACGCCCCAGCCTGCTGCAATTGTACTTTGTTGTGCTGGTGATGGCTAGGATTACGATGCACAAGGGTAATGATCACTGAGGGTGAAGGAAGAACTTTCCAGGTGGCTCCATGATGAGTAGAGGAACAATGGAGCACTGTATAGAAAGTGTTTCTAGATTGTACTGCTAGATGGAGGAGACTAGAATATTCCGTGATACTATTTTGGGTAAATGAGGCGAGAGTCTAGCTACCTCAGATGTGTATATAATTAGCGCTTTCTTCTTCCTAAATCCTTAAAGTTCTGAATATCAAATATATCAGCAGTTCACATTGATTCATCGATAATCATCCGTAAACCTTCTGCCAATTAACCTCCGTAAGCTATTACCTTTACAACAGGTTATGAGCCCGGCGCTCGATAAGGTTACAACTGACTGATCAGACTATCGAAATAAATTTGTGCACTAGAACAACTGTGAACCCCCTCCACAATATACGCCGAGTTAACTTGACCAACAGCACATCATTCAGCGATTGAACAGCCAACACTAGTGAAATTCATCGCCAATTATGAAGCGATATGTCGCATTACAAGTTTAAGCTACGAGCATGGATTAAGGGGGAGTTCGAAGCACAAAGTAAAATTATCCAGCGCCTCGACGAAAGTAAAAAGCCACAGGGCTGCCAAAAATACTTATCAAAGGTATTACATTAAATTACAGCCAGAGCTAATGAGGTCGCAAGCATCCACCCCCATTCAGAAGCCTTTCACAGATCAAATGGCTAGACAAATGGAGGGAAACCAAGGCAGAGGCAAGTAATATCGCCTTGGAAAGAAAATAAGACCTGGAGGAAAATGATGCTTTCTCATACCCAGACGTAGCAGCAGCAAGAAAGGACGAGAATAACCGAAACCGACAATAGAAACATCGCGAGCTTAACATATCCCAGAAAATCGATGATAAAGATCAGGATTCGGACGATCCATGTACACCCTGCAAGCATGACCACGCCAGTAAGGACTGTCACAAACAGCATCCAGAGCGGGCACATAAGCGCTGATTTAATAGAGAAGCACATTAAGGTCACAACCATGAAAAAGCAGTATTAATAATGAGTCATAAGAACGAAACTTCTGAAAAAGAAGAAAGCTGCTAATATATAAAATTAAATAAAAGAATTATAATCAGAGGATTATATTTAAACAGCTCTGTCAAGAAGAAAACAGCCAACAGCCTATACCCCGGCCACATAAAGCTCGAGGAAGAAAAGGTACTGAAAGGCATGTTATGATTGGAGTTAAATCATTGGTCTAGAGGAGCCACAATAGAGAGAGAAAAGAAAAGTAGCAAATAAACACGAGGAGCACCAATCCAAGATCACGATCACTAAATGGGGAGATTCTTAGTCAGATGATATCAAGTTACACCATTCCGAATCTACGAGCTTATATGGACTAGCTATATCAATTCCACCCGCACAGAGATGGTTAGAGAGTACTCACCATCAGGGGGAGTGTTGTGCTGGTGATGACTAGGATTGCGATGCACAAGGGTAATGGTCACTGAGGGTGAAGGAAGAACTTTCCAGGTGGCTCCATGATGAGTAGAGGAACAATGGAGCACTGTATAGAAAGTGTTTCTAGATTGTACTGCTAGATGGAGGAGACTAGAATATTCCGTGATACTATTTTGGGTAAATGAGGCGAGAGTCTAGCTACCTCAGATGTGTATATAATTAGCGCTTTCTTCTTCCTAAATCCTTATAGTTCTGAATATCAAATATATCAGCAGTTCACATTGATTCATCGATAATCATCCGTAAACCTTCTGCCAATTAACCTCCGTAAGCTCTTACCTTTACAACATACTTCAACTATGCATTCCATTGCGGAGTATAAGGCACACACCAAGTGCCGCAACTGCTAGGGTCCACACAGATCAGATAGTCGGGACTGTCCAGCTCGTCCTACAAAGTCTGGAATGGCCTCCAAGGAAAACCTTCAGACCATCAGGCAGGCTAGCCAACGCAAATTCGCGGCAGTTACTAGGGCCAAAGCAGCTGCAGAAGCGTCAAATACTAACCAGCCAGGTTTTAAGTCGAGCAACTGTTTTGAAGTTCTCATGTCCGATGCTACAGCAATTGTAGCTGAGGTTGATGAGTCATCAAATCAGCAAAAATCTTTGTGAAGGGCACCCCATAGATCTCTTCAAGCCTCTCTCCTACTCCAAGCTTTATGTCAATAAATGTAGGTAGAGGGGGCTCAACGCAAAACATTGCGCTTGCTCGAGCATTTGAGCTGGGTATCGACGTGGCTCTTGTTCAAGAACCTCTGTGTGTGGCGGCTAGTAAGCTGGTAGATTGCCTGTAGCCTGTGCTATTCATCATGTGCATACTCATTACCTCAGCGCTAAGATACGCTGGTATTGAAAGTCTGGTACTGCCTGTGCACGAAACATTGTTGGTAACTAGCCCACACTTTAATCATGGGAGCCGGACTAGAGGACAGAGACTAGTGGTTGAAATATTGGGATCATATATATAAATAGGGCGTTGAGTGTAGCAGTAGTATTGTTCTCCAGTTAGTAAATAAACTTACCTTTCGACATACAAACGCTCAAGCTTTATATACCGAAACTGTTACATTGTGGAACAAACAAAAGAATACAACAAAGGATCGCCCAGGATATACCTATCATTTGCCTAACAGCAGCGAAAATAATAGGCCGAGGGCTGTGACCTATACCCGGATAGACGATAAAAAGATAATAGAAACACAGCTCTTTCCTTATGTTTTGTCTACAGGAGACTATTGCTGGGTTGAAGTGAACGGCATTACTTTTATCAACGTCTACAAGGCACCCAATGACTCGACAGCTATCCAGCCTCTCATCAACTGGATTCCACCGCCAAACTCCATCGCTGCTGGGGACTTTAACTCGGCATATTGGACTTGGCAACCTGGCTTGGAACGTCCTCATGGACAAGGAGAAATGATCGAAAAATGGGCAGACAAACACCATTTGATCTGTCATATTATTGGGGATCCCACTCACCGAACTGGGAACACGCTAGATTTAGTTTGGAGTAATGTCGAAGGCGCCCGTGCTTGGGTAGATCGTGGTGAATGTGTCACCAGCAATCACTTCCCTATCCGAGGACAAATTCCAGTTTGCAACTCAGTGATGAGACCCGAAAAGGCAAAACTCCGAGTAACAAAGAAAAAGCTACCCAGATACGCCAAAGTAATTGCACAGTGAGTTAGACCACCACCAGTTCTTGACACAATTGAGAGGGTTGAAGAGTATGCCGAGGAAATTTGTTTCCATCTCACTAATGCAATCAATGCAGTAGGAACACGACCAAAAGCCCGCTGCGGCAGATCCGCTCCGTGGTGGACCCCAGAGTGTAAAGCAGCATTTGCCGAGTACAAAAGCGCGAACAATTCCAGCCAACGGGCACTCTGCGCGAAAAAGCTCCGATCAGTTGTGAAGACCTCGAAAAAGGAGTTCAAAACCCAACAGGTCGAATCAATTACTACGCCGACTGATGTATTCAAGCTATTGAAAATGGATAACCCCAGACAGGATAGTATCCCTCCGCCACTGAATCACAATGGGACGTTGATAACAGATCCATCAAAACGGGCCACGATCTTTCGCGACTCCCTCCTGGCACGATTTCAGGCATCAGACGACTTGTCACCATGTACAGTCGCGAGCAGCAGTCGGATACCAATGGAAGAGGACGTATCAGATGAAGAAGTCCGAGCCTGTACCATTGGTTGTGGAAATACGGTCCCAGGAGCAGACGGAGTCTCCGTAAACCTGCTGGAGGCGTGTTGGAATACAATCGGGCCTTGGATTTCCCAACTGTTCCGAGCTTGCATTCTGCTTGGCACCCATCCACAGTGTTTCAAATTAGCTGAAGTTGTCCTCCTTCAAAAGAACAATAGAGACCCAATATAAGGAAATGGTTAAACTGTCCTTTGCAGCTATTGATGGTGACATGAATTAAGATGATGATTGTGATTGAGATAGATTTCTATATAGTTTATAATACATGATATGCTCAGGCTCATATACCTCGAGCCAAGCAACCAGGTTATGTTCCTCTAGATCTAGATTCATCAGAATAATTACTTACTCAGTAAAATTCTCCTAGTCTCAGTTGTATGTTTAGGATCTTGATTAGGTTTCTAGTAACTAGTCAATGATGTTTCTCATATCACTGAGATATAGTCATGGTTGATACAACAGGTACAAACAATGAGTCGTGCCTGTACATGACTTTGTGATATAGTCATGATCGTCTGAACAATATCAACTCATGAATGAATCATGTCTCTACATGACACCCAACAACAATCAAAGGTTGGAGACCAATTGCTCTTCTCTCACGCTTGGGAAAAGGGTTAGAAATGCTCTTAATTGAAATTAATTCCGGAGATTGGAAGAATTACACACTAGCCTCAAGTTTGATTAAGAGATACGATAAATTTGTTTACTATACGAAGAAGTTTACTGATGTTTAATGGATAGTTAATTGTGATTAAATTGCTATAATTCTATATGTGTGGCGAGGAGTCCCTCTATATACATGAAAGCGGGGTTTTCCGCACACTAGTGTGAACTCCAACATACTCCCTAATCTAACCTAAACGGGAAGGTTGTTGGAGATCCTGAAGCCAATGTATGCTGTCAGGCATCTATTGGCTAATTACTATTCATGCCAGTGAGTGATGATATGGGTTAATCATATCTCATGGCGCCAGTGCATATTATTCTAATATGTACTATTTGTTTACTGCAGTCATGTTGCTGCCTTAATTACAACACTCTTAGCTAAGCGGATGGCACACCTTGCAGTTATCCATAATGTAGTCGACCAGCAACACTTTGGTGCACTGCCGAAGCGCTCAGCAACGGATCTGGTCTCATGTGTGGTCTGCAACATTGAAGAGTCAAATTCACAAGGATGGGCAGCTACTTTTGTAACGTTGGACGTTCAAGGAGCATTTGGCGCGGTACTCCATAACCGATTAGTAAGGAAGATGCAGGATCAGGGATGGCCGGAGTCTATTCTCAAATGGACTAGCTCCTTCCTCGCCAATCGGATGGTTCAAGTGCGATACTCTGGGGGAGTCACTACCAAAAGAGAGCTAGTGTGCGGAAATCCGCAGGGCTCACCGATCTCGCCACTTCTCTTCCTTCTATATATGGTAGAGTCCATGCGAGCTGGAACTCAAGGTCTGAGGTTTAGCTACGCCGACGATATCGGTATCCTTGGATTTGGCCGGACGATTGCAGAGTCTGCAGTCGCAGCACAGGACGAGGTCAATAACCTACTAGACTGGGCTCGAAATAATGCTGTCGCTTTCGATACAGATAAGTCCGAAGTCGTACAATTCCCCGGACGATACTGCGAAACATCGGTTGGAATTTATGTCAACAAAAGCCTCATAGAACCGTCGCAAAATGTCCGCTGGCTTGGTGTGTACCTGGATCCTCGACTAAACTTCAAACACCACGTCACAACTTGGTGTGGCAAAGCGTTGAAAATTGCACAGCACATGCGTCGCTTCAATACAGCTTACCGAGGAGCCGCTCCTGGGGCGTTGGTTAAAGCGATCGACACATGTATCGTCCCAATTGCAACATACGGAGCTGACGTCTGGTGGCCTGGCCTCAGACGTCCTACAGTACGAGGGATGGTCACACCGCTCACTGCTGGCCTATGTAGCACGATTGATAAGGCTGTCTTAATGGGTCTTAGATCAGCTCTACCGGTAATGAGGACAACCCCCAACGCTGTACTACATAGAGAAGGAGGAATTCCAACCGGGAAAATCATACTCGAAGGAAACCGACTTCGCCTCTCTGCCAGGGTGCAAACACTTGACGACCACCATCTGCTCAGGATCCGTGCTGCAGTTTGCCCAAATGTTAGTACGCGGAAATATAAGAAGCACAATCGAAAATCTGCGCGTCCTGAAATTCAAATGTCACGGGCTCAACGTGCTTATAGACAGCTACCAGAGGCAGAGGCCGCAGAACCTCTTGCCTCATCATTCTATCAATCGCGGCCGGGTTCGAAGGTTGGTTCGAGAAAAGACCAAGAAGATGTGAAGGGTTAAAGCAGACGGTCACTGCACGCAAGCAATACCATAAATAATTAATATTCTTCTATGGGAGAGATAACTACAACTAGATTGTGCAGACATAAAGTGCGCCCTGACAATTACCTTACATAAGCACTATAGAGAGAACTTGTTTGTGCGAAAGAT